AACAAACAAATAAATGATCAACCTGGCTCATAATGCATTGCAACATCCTCACAGAAGACGAGCTCACAATCACCACCACCAGCCTGGCCTGTTGACACCAGGCAGGTTGGTCCATGGATTCAGACTCTGACTCCACCATCTGCTGCCTCAGCACAGATCCAGATCCATCAGACCAGGTCTTCAGCTGTCCAGTGTTGGTGAGTCTGTGTCCACTGCAGCCTCAGGTCTCTGGTCTTGGTGACAGGAAGTGCAACCTGACGTGGTCTCATGCTGTTGTAGGTTGGACGTGTTGTTCACTCTGAAGCTTTTCTACTCAGCACAGTTGTAAAGTTTATCTGAGGTACCGTAGCCTTTCTGTCCGCTCCAGCCAGTCTGTCCATTCTCCTCTGACCTCTGAACTCTGACCTCTCTCATCAACACAGAGCTGCTGCTCACTGGATGCTTTTGTTGTTGCTCCATTCAGAGTAAAAACTCTAGACACTGTTGTGTCTGTCCAGCAGCCCTTTGCTGCATGTCGTCCTCTCTCTCTCCCTGACTTTCCTGTGTCTCTCTCGCTGCAACTGTCAGATGCCAAAAAAGAACAGCACAAAATCTACAAAAGATCTACAGCACAATAGTGTGTGCAAAAAGTGAAGGGGTCTGAATACTTGTTGTTGGACCTACAGAAACTCTCGGCCCACTGTAATTGGACAGTGGTGTCACCACTTTAAGACACCACATGTCCTCACTGATACATACGGTATGTAGAGGACAGCCTTGCTCTCACACAGGCAGCCACAGAACACCGTGCTGTCTTTGATGTGGCTCTTCTTTATTATCCTGACCTATATCCAGCTCTTGGACCGCTCCTGCAGTATTACATCACCCCAGCCCACTCCAAATCACCCTCAAAATCCCAGCGCAACACGAGAGAGGAAAATAAAGGAAGTGGACTGGCCCTCTGCAACATGTCCTCATGGAACTTTTCACTCAGCTCGCACTGCGACGGCCTGTCGGCACAGTTTACACACGCAGGAGGAAAGACATTTGTCTGCAGTTCTCAGACATGTTCACTGCAGCCTCCTCACCTCCACGATGACGTCAGAGAACACAGAGAGGTGAGGGAGGCTGGAGGAGAAGCAGGAAGTGAGCTGTTTCTCCTCCAACACGGCCAAAAGATAACCGATCAACTGTCAGTACAGCCGCCTGCAGAAAGCTGCACCATCTCACGTCTGATGCTCTCTTGTCTCAACAGTGGATCACTTTTATTAATCGTACCGACTGAACAACAAACGAGGCACAACGCATTAATACGTTTTTGTTTAGCGCACAGACGTGGATGTCGGGAGTCACGGGAAATCTGAAGGCCGTCCGTCAGTTTAACAGATTAGTGCAGAGTCAGACGGCAGGTTCTCTGGCGTCACACTCATGCAGGCGGACGCGCAGACTATATCATGGAGGTGACAAAATTCCCCTCAGAGCAACACGTCTTACCATCCAGCATGTTACGGATGTAAGGCCTTGGAGAGTCTTGCCAGTTCAGCCTTCAGAACAAAATTACAGCCACGAGAAGTCGTCTGTCTGAGGATGACAATCAGCTCTGCAGCAGTCTGCCCTGATGTAAGCACCCGGTTTAAATCCAAGGAGGGAGGCCTGAGTTCAGGCTACAGCAGGCTATTTCACATCAGTTTATTTTCTTGTCAATTATTTGTCCATATTTTAATTGTAACTGTCTAATTCTGTAAAATTGCATTGTTCATATTTGCCTGTTTAGGCTCAACTCAGCTGGTTCATGTGGTGTCGACGTGAAAAGTGACACACTGTCAGTGTCTATTTATCTTTTCTCTCATAATCTGACTTGTTTTTGAAAATTAAATACTATAAATAGCATATGTCTTATTATTATTAAAATTTTTACAACCCTGTCTGTTAAAATAATGGACAACAAGAAAGTCTAACGCAACTGGATTGAACTGAATAATGAAGTGAAAACAAAGCTGCACCAAGATCCTCTGCATCTGATGAGAAGATCCACTCTCATATATTCAAACTGTGGTTGTGATGATGGTGGAAACAGTTCATGTTGTCGCTCTGACATATGAAAAGAAAACCTAATGATGTTATTAAAATTTAAACTAAATAATTTTGACAAAGGACAATGCTTCAGTGTGACTCGGCCTCCTGTGTCTTACCTGCCAGGTCTTCTTTAGAGGAGGCGATGCGAGGGGAGCTGTTGCCGGGTTCAATCTTCAGAGACAACCTGCAACACAAACGGTTTCGTCAGACACACCAGCCCAGTGCTGCTCTCTGATCAGCTGATGGTTACTACTGTGCAGACAGAGACCCACTCACTGCTGCTATATTAAGTCCAGCAGTTTAATTACAGAGTTAATTAACCAGAAAATTATGCGGTAAGTATGGGTCTAAACTCTATCTCTGAACTGCTAAGAAAAGAGCTAATTACAGGCCTTTTTAGTGCAGCTGCAATTTATTTACCCAAAGATAATTAAAGAAAAATCTGAACCAGCCTCTGGTGCGTCTCACTGAGCATTAGTCATTATTTGGATCTGCAAGATTCACAGGTATGAAGTGTCATGTGTGACTCGAAAGATAACATTCGCTGGTTTAATTCTTATTTCCAGCCAATCAGCCATCTAACTGCCTGTCCACACAGGAAGTGTTTCACTCACACTCTACACGTATTATTGTGACCTGAGGCATATTTTTACGTTTCAAGTTTATTTCTTCCATTTTATTCTCATAGCTACAGTGATGGTGTGTTGGGCTCTGAGCGCTGCCAGAATGTGGCTGACCTACACCCAGAACTGTCCCTGAACACATCCTGTGTAACACTGACTGAGCTGCAGCCTGTGTAGACATCGTGTCACAGGTCACTCACAATACTCGTCTTATATTTGGCTCTTTATCTTACACATGTTGGAGATTTGTGGTGACCATGCGCATATTTAATATGTATGATGATTTTAACTTGAATATTGAAAATTAAAGACTTCAGATAATTAGCTTAGCATTTGCTCTTTAGATAGAATTTCTACTGAACCTCTTAGACAAAAGCTGCTTCTGCCTTTTTCTTAATTTGTCTTGGTGGCTGACAAAATATCATGCAAGGCAAAACACATGTGCATCATTACAACCGGATCCATGACATCACAGCAGGTCACCTCACTGTCAGTTCTGCAGACAGCACAGAATGATCACATTTCCTCCCTGATGTTTTGTGTTTTTTAACATCTTGGAATCATGTAGGAAATAAGAATGTTTGTATGACCAGTGTGTCACTAGTTAGACTGATTGTGTGTGTGGACTCGGAGTAGCCACACATTCCAGCATGCATATTGCATCATCCAGTGGCAAAGAGCCAGGTTCACAGCTGACGTCATTTTTATCGTACAACTGTTATTATGACACTTTATACCAAAGTTAGTTCCAACCAAGTAATTTGCTTGGATGAGAGTCATTCCATGAGTGGTGATATATACAGTATTACAGCACCGGAACTTTTAACTACATGTTCTATTAACTGTTAATTAATGGTCGTTATCTGTCTTAGATTGTAACAAACTTTACAAAGATGAAAATATTTCCAGAAATAACATTTGAATTAAATGACGTTTGGTCGTCAGAAGAGGATGAAGGGAAGAAGCCTGAATACTTCAGCGCACACCTCCAGGTGCGCTCATATGACATCATCAGATCAGGAAAATGTTTGTATTGCTTAGCAACAGTCCAGTACCAGTCCAGTTGCTGAACCATTTGTGTTGGCGTAGCGTAAAGAAACTAATCATAATCCGTTGTTGCTTATTACTTTTAACTAATATGGTGCTTGTAACACTGCTGCCTCGTACCGATGAGCGAATCACAGCCGTGCTGATATTCAGAAAAACATCACTCCCTCTCACGGGATATTGCTTTATTATTAAGTTTTGATATTTTCCAACGATTTAGATTCCAAACGATGATCGATTCATCAAAATGATGGCTGACGGAAATTTGCTGTAATGTTTTAGTTGATGTGAGGATCTGCTGCTCAGTGGGTGTCCACCGTCATCATCCTGGCAAGCCCTTTGATCATTTACCACTGGATCTGATGTCACTGTGGTGTTTAAACTATGATAAAGTATGTCTGGATAAGTGGAGGAGGGAAGACCAGGATGCCCAACGATAGATTGGTACCATTATGCCTTCTCACTCAGTCAGTTATGTAAATCAAACCTTCCAGATGCCTCTGCCCCTGCCTGGGTAGCACTGCAGAAAAGACTGGTGGAACCCTTCTCAATACAGGCTTTTCTTACTCAGACAGGAGGGGACAAACCAAATAGGAACCCTTTTCTGGCATTTGCTAGATATAACTGGAGAAAGGCATGGTATGTAACATCAATCCCTATCATACTAAAGGATCATCAATATGGTACAATAAGTCATTGAAAATTAATAAAAAATCTATTTTGTGGGAAAACTGGGTAAGAGCGGGAATAATGCTGTTGGAAGACCTGTTTGACGGGAATCATTTGCCTTTTTTTGAACAGCTTGTGTTATATAATATACCCAGGAAAGATTTTTGGAAGTTTATTCAATTGAGGAGTTGTATTACGACTGTAGATAGAAAGAGCTTACAACTGTTGCTTGCATTCAGGTGTTTTGGCTGTTAAATTGGAAACTTTGAGGGGGGACATCTAGGTTTTATAGTCTGCTTAGAAAACACCAATCCCCAAACTACGAGGGTGTCAAGAACACTTGGGAAAAATGTCTTGGAATATCCATTCACAGGGAGGCTTGGAGCAAGGTGATAAAATCTTGGTTGTCCATAGCCTGGGACATGCAGACACACCTTATCTTTTTTAGAATACGGAATAGGAATTACTGGACCCCTTCAAAAATGTCAAGGTTGGGGCTTAGGAATGATGATACATGTTGGAGATGCAACAGAGGCAGGGGCACACTGTCTCACGTGCTATATATGAATGTGAAATAGTGCATAAGTTATGGTTGGAAATAGTCAACTGTATTTGAGACAAATCTCAGTGTGAGTCCAGCATTATGTATATTGGCTATTTTGCCAATTGAAGTTAAATTGTCATCAAAGCTGTGCTCCTGGGTGAAACTGGCCTTGATAACAGGGAGCAGAATAGTGTTAAGGCATTGGAAATACAAAGAGCGTATCAGTTTTAATGAATGGAGGGACGAACTGGCTAAGATGTCTTCTTGTGGGCAGCTTATTCACAGGGCTACTAACAGTCTTGTAGTATTTAGGAAGGTATGGGGCCCATAGTAAGTACAGGTGATCGTCAGGATGACTGATGTTCAGGTATTTCATCCCTACTGTTTTTAAATAATCTAAGTGTCCATCCTCGATGGACTAACATGAAGTACAATATGGAGGTCTGATAGCCTGTATCACACACTGAAGAATGTGCATGTTGTTCTTTTATTTTGTTTATTTATTTTTTATGTATTTTTAATAAAAAAATTGTTTCCTTATATCCAATATGTTCAATTTTTTGTCTTCAATGTACATCTGTAACTGAAAACAAGCAATTAAGAGGTTTATCATCACATGCTCAGTTTGGTTCTACCAGTACAGGAATGAGTCCAGATAAATGTTATTCTTTGGTAAATGGGATTCTGCCCCTCATCACCACATTTGGAAAGTATTTCTTGAAACATTGGGTGGAAGGAACTGTGGGTAAAATAGTCATTAATTATTGAGAGTGGGTTTGGTTGTGTTTATGAATGACTGTTTAAATGGCTGTGCTGGCTCCAAAGAAAAACACAAGGGGAGTGCCATACAAAATTCAAACACAATCTGTCATGTGTAATGTCCACATTACATCATACAGCCAGCCTGGTTTGATCTGTGCATCTGTTTTCTCTCTCGTCACTGCTGTCATTACTAATGCTCTGTGACCATCTCACCATCTCAGCCCAGGGAACAGGCTCCACAGTTTCCAGCAGAGCTGCACGACACACAGACTGTACTCATTTACAACTACACTGATTCATGTTACAAACTCTCTTTGGCACTTTGTCTTAAACTGCTGTGTGTGTTATTGTTTCTGTGGACCAGAGTTTACATGTCTTATTATGTTGCATTTGCAGAGGTTGTGAGAGAAGTAGTGTTCATTTTGTTTACAAAAGTTGTACAGAAATATATTTGTCAACAACCATAATAACCACAATAGCTGTGACTAAATGTCTTTATAGTATTGTTGGAGAAAAGGAGGGTTAGCTCGGCCAGCCTTAGACAGTGATGGGGAGAGTACATGGTGGTACCAGCTGACTATACATAAAGATGAACATAGCCTCTGTGACGTCACACACAGGTTTCTGAAGGGCTGCTCCTTCGTTGCCATCTCATCTCTGTCTGACTCTGTCCCTAACTCCCGGCTAATACAAAAATTCTCAAAGAGGTGGGGCGTGTGTGGAGCTGAGACCCACTTGTCACTCAAAGAGGCCAAGCCCTCAATTATACACAACTTTAAGTCTTAATAAAATGTTAACAGGTGAGTTATATAAAGAGTTGTCATGAAGGAGGAAATTAGCTCTAGAGACTGAAACTGGTTTTGTACCAGGCTGTAAACATGTTTATTTCTGCTGTAAAGTTGGACATTTAAACATGGGAGTCCATGGTGACTGACTCACAATGGAGCCAGTGGTCATTAAAGGGAACTGCAGGTTTTCGTTCTTCAGTGTTGGCTTCATTTTTCAGCCTCAAGGGTTGCTGCTTGGATGGTCCCAGGGGACAGAAAGAAGTAACAGGTCAACATGGACCCACGTCAAATACAATGCTGCAGAGAAAATAAGGGAGTGTGGTGTAACATTACTGTTAGGAGATCGGCTCTGGAGGGAAGAATACCACAAACCTGAGGAGACACATCAAGGTGCACCAAACAGAAACTGAGGTAATGGTAACGATGTTTAATGACGTTAATTTTTTTTTTTTAACTTATATCAATTTAAGTTACGTCATCAATCAGCATCTCACAGCAACGGGACAATACTACATTGTTTGCTAGAAGTTTATCCAAAGTGAAAAGTCAGCAGCCCGGCCAGTTAAACTGAATAACGTCTAGCTCTGTTTTAGACAAGCTATTCATGCTGAAGCACATACATACACATTTGATAGTAAGGCCTTGATGATGCTGGCAACATGTAGTCTATTTGTGATATCTAGTTATTAAAATGCACAGCTTAAAAAATGCAACAATTTTCTTCCTCTGGCACTACTGAATTAAATTTTCC